GTGGACTTGTTGGGCCGAAGGGCCTGTTTCCACACTGTAGGGAATCGATGAGTTTTTTTTCTACGAGTTAAAAATCAGAGTTAACGTTTCGGGTTCGGTGACCCTTCAGTTCTGAGGAAGGGTCACCGGACCCGAAATGTTAACTCTGTTTTTTTCTTCACAGATGCTGCCAGACCTGCTGAGCTTTCCCAGCAACTTTGTTTTTGTTCCTGATTTACAGCATCTGCAGTTCTTTCAGTTTTCATTACAAGTATTCATCTGGTAAACATTCTCTGAACTACAGTCAATGTATTATATCCTTCCTTAAATAAAGTTACCAATACTTTACACAGTACTCCAGACACGGTCTCACCAGTACACTTTAAAAGGATAACAGTGGACAGTCAATAGCAACCATTTAAAGTGGAGGAAATGCAACAATTGTTCATTCTTTTGTAGAACAAAAATAAAACTGGAAAGCTGGCCTGGCAATGGCTATCAAGGTAAATTAGGAATAGTATTAGACCCAAGGAAGGGGCACATACAATCACCAAAAAAGCAGCATGCCTGAGGGCTGGGAACTGTTTAGATTGCAGCAAAAGAGGACAAAGGGATTAATCAAGACAAGGTGTGCAGAGGGGCTGGTGGTGATAGAGTCCAAGAATTAACCTACAGAGAACATACAAACTGACTGCAAAAGCTTGTGAAGTATGTGAAGAGAAAATGATTAGTGAAGACAAATATAAGTCCCTTACAGTCAGAAACAGGAAATTATAATGGGAACAAAGAGATGGCAGGCCAATCACATATATTCTTTGGATTCAAATTCACAAAGGAGAACACAAATAATGTTCCAAAAATACTGGAAAAGACAGGGTCCAGGGAGAGGGAAAAAGTGAAGGGTATCAGTATTAGTAGGGCAAGTATAAAATTAATGGTCAGACCTTGGGTGGTGATGCAGATCGGAGGGATCTAGGGTGCAGGTACATAATTCTTTGAAGTTTGCATCACATATAGACAGGGTGGTTAAAAAGGCGTTTGGCACGCTTGCCTTCATTGCTCAGCGTTTGGAGTATAGCAGTTAAGAAATCATGTTGATGTTGTACAGGACATTGGTGAGGCCTCTTCTGGAATATTGCGTCCAGTCCTGGTCACCCAGTTATAGAAGGGATATTATCAAGCTGGAGAGGGTTCAGAAGAGATTTACCAGTGCTGGGTATAGAAGGTTTGAATTATGAAGAAAGGCTGGTTAGGTTGGGATCTTTTTCACTGGAGGTTGAGAGATGACCTAATAGAAATTTATAAAATTAGTGAGAGGTATAGATAGAGTTAATAATAGTTGTCTTTTCCTTAAAAGGGGAATTTCAGGACTAGGGAGCACATTTTTAAGGTGAGAGGACAGAGATTTAAAAAAGACATGAGGCAATTTTTCTTACACCGAGGTTCGCATGTGGAATAAACCTCCGGATAAAGTGGTGGATATGGGTACAATGACAATGTTTAAAAGACATTTGGATCGATACTTGAACAGGAAAGGTTTGGAGGGATATGGGGCAGGAGCAAGCAGGTGGGACTAGTTTAGTTTGGGATTATGTTCGGCATGGGCTGGATGGACCGAAGGGTCTGTTTCCACACTGTATGACTCTATGATTCTATAAGTATTGCGGGAACTGATGGAATTAAAGGTTGATAAATGCCCAGGACCTGTATTCTACATCCCAGCATCCTTAAGAAATGGCCCTCGAAATATAGTGGGTTGCATCGGTGCAATCTTTCAAGATTCTGTAGACTCTGGAATAGTTCCTATGGATTTGAGAGTTGTTAATATAATCCCACTACTTTAAAAAGGTAGAGATAAAACTGGGAATTATAGACCAGTTAGCCAGAATGCACGTCCTCTGAAAGTGAAGCAGTCCAGTCCATGACCAGGTCATTGGAGACATATAGACATTTACCATTTGATAAATGTGATGATAAATACTATTAATGCCTAAGAAATGTCGGGTGCTAGAAGAAATGCCAACTTCCAAAGGCAGGAAAAGTCAGGTGAGGGTATATAATAAAAAACAATAAACCGTAGTAATGATCACTGGCTTCTCTATTCAATTCCAAAGCATCCAACGAATTTACCTTAAAACTTGCAAACAAGTTCAACTATGAGAGCAATCAACAATACAGTACTAAAACTAAAACCTAGAAGTAATGAAAACTGTCACCATCACCCCATACTACAGAACAAATTGCTAAATGTTAAAGCATTTCTCATCACAAAGAACCACCTTCCTGAGATATTTGTAACACCGACAGCTACAGGTGAGGTGCCAGAAGATTGGACAATGGCTAACATAGTGCCATTATTTAAGAAAGGTATTTAGGAAACGTCAGGGAACTATAGACCTTTGAGCCTGACATCAGTGGCAGGCAAGTTATTGGAGGGAATTTGGAGGGACAGGATTTACATGTATTTGGAAAGGCAATGACTGATTAGGGACTGTCAACCTGGCTTTGTGCATGTCTCGCTAACTTAAGTGAGTTAAGTGACAAAGAAGATTGTCGAAGGCAGAGTGGTCGACGTTGTCTATATGGACATCAGCAAGGTGTTCAAAAACATTCCACATGGTAGACTGGTTAGCAAGGTTAGAACACATGAAATACAGGGAGAGTTAGCCATTTGGATTCAAAATTGGCTCGAAGGTAGGAGACAGAGGGTGGTTGTGCAGGGTTGCTTTTCGGACTGGAGGCCTATGACCAGCAGTGTGCTGCAAGGACTGGTGTTGGGTCCACTGCTTTTTGTAATTTATATAAAATGATTCGGATGTGAATATAAAAGCTATTGCAGATGACACCAAAATTGGCATGTAGTAGACAGGAAAGAAGGTTACCTCAGAGTGCAACAGGATCTTGTTCAGATGGGCAAACAAGCTGAGAAATGACAGATGGAGTTTAATTTAGACAAATGTGAGGTGCTGCATCTTGATAAGGCAAATCAGGCCAGGACTTATGCAGTTAATGGTAAGGTCTGGAGAATGTTGCCAAGCAAAGTCCTTTGGGATGCAGGTTCATAGTTCCTTGAAAATGGAGTCACAAGTAGACAGGACAGTGAAGGTGGCGTTTGGTACACTTGCCTTTATCAGTCAGTGCATTGAGTATAGGAGTTGGCGGGTCATGTTGTGGCTGTACAGAACATTCAACAGACAACTTTTAGAATACTGCATTCCATTCTGGTCTCCCTGCTATAGGAAAGATGTTGTCATATTTGAACGAGCTCAGAAAAGATTTACAAAGATGTTGCCAAGATTGGAGGGTTTGAGCTATAGGGAGAGACTGAATAGGCTAGTGCTATTTCCCTGGAGCAGAGGCTGAGGGGTGACCTTATGGAGGTTTATAAAATCATGAAGGGCATGGATTGGGTGAATAGATAATGTCTTTTTCCCAGGGTACAGGAGGCCAAAACTAGAGGGCATAAGTTTAAGATGAGAGCGGAAAGATTGAAAAGGGATGCTAGGGGCAACTTTTTCAGCAGAAGGTGGTGCATGTATGGAATGAGAAGGTGGTGGAGGCTGGTACAATTACAACATTTAACAGGCATCTGACAGGTACATGAATCGGAAGGGCATAATGGGATTTGGGCCAAATGCCGGCAAATGGGACTAGGTAGGATTGGGATGTCTGTACAACATAGACGAGTTGGACTGGAGGATGTTTCCATGTTGCACATCTCTAAGACTCTGTGTTGAACACTGAAGCGTATGAATTCCTTGCATTTAATACATTTCTGAAGTACATGGTCAACAACTTGTAACATGGTACCTCTGACACAGGAAAACATCTCAAAGTGGTTCACAGGAGCATGACCAGTCTAGAAATTGACATTAAGCTAAAGAAGGAGATATTAGGAGACTGGTAAGTTTGGTTAATTAGTTTTAAGGAGATCAGAGACCCAAGAACTACTGAGGTTTTTATTTTACTTTGGCAGGACATCGCTGCACAATGAACGTAAATCTTATCTGCCACTCCATCTTTATCACATAAGTAGCACATATGCACTGCGTGCTGAAAAGAAAGAAAACCAGATCAGATAAATAACATTACTAAGAAGAAATAACAATGGACTTCTCTAATAGCTGTACCTTGGATGTCTCTTAACAATTTCCTGCCACAGCTGCAATGAAGTTAGTTGCTGTGGTACAGAAATTGTCTCTGAACGAACTCCTGACAATTCAGCACTCCTGGCAAAATACAGCACAGAGACCTATATAAAAGAGAGAAAAATTAAACCTTGCAAAAAGCGTGACTAGCTCATGTCATAGTACTGAATTACATATTTTCTGGGGAAAAAAATTATAAAGATCAGAATCAAAATTTGCAAATAAACTGTGGCCCCATTAAACCATACTTCACATTGTCAAAGTTTCAGTTCAAAAGATTTTAATGTGAGACTTCCAACACTGAATACCTACCAGGCTACTGGTTCCATTATACGTTATTGCCAATCTGCAACTCTATCAATCTCCTGCGATTAAAGTTTACTCAGTTTGTCTGGATGACAGTGAGGGCTGCAGGGGGAAAGAGTTCACTGACCATAGCCAGTGATACTGGACGACACTCAAGAGGACAGAATATGATGAAATGTAGTGATAATAGGGGACAATATAACTAGGGGAACTGACACTTCTTTGCAGCAAAGACAGCGAGTCCAGGCAGCGGTTATTGCCTGCCTGGTGTCAGAATTCAGGTGCAAAATTAAGAATTGAAAACTCAAAAGTCATAATCTCTGCAATATTGTCCAAGCCACATTCAAATTGGCAAAGGACAAATCAGATTAGAGAGCTAAATGTCAGTCATGAACTCAGTGAATGATGGTGAATCAAAGATGGTATGAGGGAACAGCATTCCGGTTCATGGGGCACTGGCATCAATACTGGGGAAAATGGGATCTGTACCAGTGAGATGGTCTCTATCTGAACCATGCTAGGGCCAGTGTTCTTGCCAACCACATAAGGAAGTAAAACCGAATAATGGAGGCAAGGGTTCAAATTTGGAAAGCTGCATTGAATGAAAGATACGGTCAAGGATAAAGAGAAAGGTATTAATACAGGAAAATGACAAATAGACTGTGACAGGAAGAGATAGAGAATAAATCCAAGAGTCAGCCCACAGATAAAACTAGCATTTTCAAAAGGAGTAAAAGGATTAGATTGGTATCTAAATGAACTGAGAACACAAATAGTTTGTTCAGAGAAGGTTTATTAGGCTATTACCTGGAATGGCCAGATGTGTTATGATGAAAAATTGGGCACACTCAACTTGAGCCAGCTAGCATTTAGAGAGTAAGAGATTACTTGATTGAAACAAAATCCTGAGGGGTCTCGTCAGGGCAGATGTAGAGAGAGGATGTTTCATTTAATAAAGGGATCCTAGAACTTGGGTTACTGCTTAAAAGAGAGATTAGGCTTTTTTTTCTCTCAGTGGATCGTAGATCTTTGGAACTTACATCCAAGAACTGTGTAGGCAGGGTCCTTGATTATTTTTAAGGCAGAGATATATAGATTCTTGTTAAACAATAGGTTTAAAGGTTATCGAGGGTAGGCGGGAGTGAGGTTTCAATCAGTTCAGTCATGAACTTAGTGAATGATGGTACAGGGTCAACATATTGAATGCTATTCCTGATTCTTGTGCCTATTGTGATACACACCCCACAGTCTAAATTACACTGAAGCCATACATCAATAAGTTTTCTACTGAGCCAGGAAAGCCTGCCATATGCTTCATTAACAAATGTGCACTCACAAATCAGCAATGTGTTCAAGCTTCGGCAACATAAATGGGAAAATGTGCATTATCATAACATTAAATTATCTCTTCTTCAATCCTACTGGGCAATCAGAAAGGTTTATTTTGTAGCAGTTCTTAAGCATTACATTTTGAAAGAACGCTATATAAACAAAAAAAAGCAGCTCATAACCAAAATATTAGTGTTATACAAAAAGAGTAAAGGACTAAGAAATCATTTCATCTCACAATTGTGATGATCTCACAACAATAAAGTTCAGATGGTTTCTAAATAATTAAATAACCTCCCTATCTTTGTTGCTGCATTAAAGGGATTGTATAAATGCAATTTGTTAATGCTTGTCCACATTTGAAACCAGTTAAAGCAGATATTCAAAGAAAAATCAGAATTGTTATGCTGCAGATGGAGATCATTGAACCATTAGGTCGGTACCTTACTCCTGCACTTGTTTCCATTTATATAATTATCAAATGCCGTCTTCAATGCCTCATTTGAACCTGCCTCCACCAGTCTTCCAGGCTGTGTATTCCATTCAGTAACAGTAACTACTTGCTGTGTGCAAAAGTTTTATTCTTCACCTCACATTTGTTTCTTTTGCCAAACTCCTAAAACTACAGTATACCCTCTGGTTCTTGATCTGTGCACAAGCAGAAATGGTTTCTCCCTATTCATTCCATCCAGACCTCTCATGACCTTGAAAACTATTAAGACTCCCTTTAGTCTTCTCCATCCCAAGAAAAAACTCTCCCAACATCTTCAATCTTTCCTCATGAGAGATTTACAAGATGGGATACTTCTCGTACTCTCTCCAACATATTCATAGCCTTCCTATAATGTGACAACCAAAAATTTACAATACACCAGCTAGAGTCATTGTCATAGAGGCGTACAGCATGGAAACAGACCCTTCAGTCCAACTTGTATGCGCTGACCAGATATCCTAAACTGATCTAACCCCCTTTGCCAGTATTGAGCCCATATCCATCCTGATCCTTTTACATGTTGTTATTGTACCAGCCTCCACCATTTCCTCTGGCAGCTCATTACATACACGCACCACCCTCTGCATGAAAAAGTTGCCCCTCAGGTCCCTTTTAAATCTTTCACCTTAAACCTATGCCCTTTAGTTTTGGACTCCTCCCACTCTCAGGTAAATTGCAAAGCAACATTTGACACCTAACTATTTCTTCACGACAGGAGCAACAAGTGACAGTAATTTTTGTTTTAACAAATAAAAATGCCTGGTTGCGCAATGCAGGTGGAGTTCAGGCCGTGCTCCTTCCCTACTGAAGGAGGAGTGGAGAGCAGGCTACTGCTGTTTACATTCACTCCCCAACAGCCGGCTCCGGCTCCAGCCCTGGGACTCCCCACTTCCCCACCACCCCACACACACCCACCCACACACCGACACACACAGGCCCAGGCGCCCTCCAGCCGCAGCCGCCGCCGCCGCCGCCTTCTCCCACACGTTCCAGCTGGAGATTTTACGGACCGTATTCGTCCAGAAGGAGACGGTGTCACGGACTGAGACCGTTCCCGTTCCCCTCCCCCCCGCACCGAGGCCGCGATCCGGGCGCTCGGTGTCCCCTTCTCACAGCCGGCCTCTTACTCCGTGTGGGGAGAGGCCGAGGCCGAGGCCGTGCCCGCGATGTACCTGGATAACCATGTCCCTGCCCTGTCCTGTCCTGTCTCCGGGGTCGGGTCGGTGCAACGTGTTGACGAGTCCGGGTAGCTGCCTGTCCTTCTCCTGCTCAGGTCCCAACTGCAGTCAAAATGAACCAAAACCGAAAGAACTGCTGGATGCTGGAAAGCAGGAATAAAAACGGGAAATTGCTGGAAGAAGGTCAGGCAGCAGCCTTGAGGAGAAGTCAAGAGTTATAATGTTTCAGGTCTAGTGACCTTCCCTCAACATTAACCCTGATTTCTCTCCACAGATGCTGCCTGACCTTTTCCAGCAATTTCTGCTTCTGTCTCAAACTAAACCGTCACTGCTCAACACCATCCCCCTTCAGTGAGTTGTCGAGATCAACAATACACAAATATAAATGCAAACAGAAAATCGTCGTGGCCTCAAACTTTCGTCCTTGTTTACCTTTGACAGATCTGCTGAGTATTTCCAGTATTTTCTGTTTGTATTCCACATTCCCATCATCTCTTTGCCTTGCTGTTAAAAGAAAAGGAAATGCAGATACATCAGTTGGGAAGACTAATACTAAATTAGGTATGAGGTTTTGGAAAATATGAGTAAAACATTATTGCTTTGATACTAGGGATGCAGTGGTAGTGTTCCAATACATGGCCCAGTCTGCACCAGGTATGCTTGATCAAGTAGGTTTTAAAATATTTACTTCAACGTAGCATTGTAGGTCAACCCCACAGCAGGAGGACTGTAGCGGTTCAAAAAGGCAGCTCACCACCACCTTCTCAAGGGCAACTAGGGATGAACAAGAAATGCTGGCCAGCCAGTGACACCCACATCCCACGAATGAATTAAAAAAAAATTGGTTGGGACCTGAGACTACAGGAACATCTTCAAATCCTAATGTATGTGTAGAGAAAGTTCTTATAAATACTACTGAAGATGGTAGAAATTTGAAATAAAACCAGAGAGTTCTAGAGAAACTCAACAGGTCTAGCAGCACCTGTTAAAAAGCAAAACATGTTACATTTTGAGTCCAGTAAGACTCTCATTCTGTTACAAACTTTTTTGGAGTTCTGAAGAAGCATATTGGGCTCAATCCTTTAACTTTGTTCCCTTCTCTACAGATGCTGCCAGACCTGTCAAATTTCTCCAGCATGTTCTGGTTTTTTGTTAGAAATGTTCTTGTTTGAATATGAGTGGCAAATGAAACAATATTCTCACATCGAGTCATCCATCCCATCATGCGGCTGGAGGATTTAAAGGAAAAACAGGAATTCAATATGAATCAATAACCAATAATCAAAAAAGAGGTAAAGAGAGTCAGAAATACAAAAGGAAGTGAAGAAGTGGAAAGAATTCAAAGATAGGAGAAAAAGATTATTTACTCTGTTAATTAAGCCCTATTAAACAATTATAGGTACATGCATCCTACCCACCAAATCCCTCAAAAAGCAGACAACAGTGTCAATTTCTGCAAGATAGACTGAAGCAACTTCGTCAAGCTCCTCCAACAGCTCATTTGCAAACGCACAAACTGTATCATCTAGACGCAAGAGCTGATGACACTTGGACAACTACCTTCAGTTCTGGTTACAAATTTTCCTCCAAGTCAAACACATTCTGACTTGGAACTATATCACTGTTCAGTCACTGTAACTGGGTCAAAAACCTGAAGTCCTAACAGTATTGCAGCTGTATCGTTATCAGATAGAATGCAACAGTTCGAGAAGGCAACTTGCCACTATTTTCTTAAGGTAATTAAGCGGTGGGTGATAAATGCTGTCATTGGCAATTATGCTCACATTCCATGAACGAATAAGTAAAATTGATATCCTATTATTCTTGGATTTTTCTTTATTCTGTTCCATTAAATGTTGGACTCATGAGACCTTCCCTCATGTCCATTTGAAATAGGTTCTTTTTTCAAGAAGTGTTAAATACATGAACCAATGGCTCACATACCACTGTTCTGATCCCCTTTCATTTCTGTGGGATAAATGGCATTTGAACAAACAGCCCAATAAATATTAACTTTTGTTATAACTCTAGTTAAGTCATTTGAATATTTATTGCTACAGAATCAATGTTAGGAGTCCACTTTGACTAGATCTTGTCTTGTCATATTAAGGTCAGCCTACCCACACCACCATCTCCTCCACCACCCCCCCCCCCCCCCCCCGCCCCACATTGATAACTTTTGTTTCTGATCTACCTTTGTCCTTTTTCATAACTAACTGAAATCTTAGTAGGCTATGGTCGCTATCATTGAACTGTTTTCCCTACTGACAGTTCTATCACTTAAGTGGTTTCACTTCCAAAAACCAGATCCAGCACCACCCCTTGTCTTAGAAAACTTTCTACATGCTGGCTTAAATTCTCTTCTAGATACATTTTAACTATTCTGCACCTCTAACCCTTTCACACTTCATCTATCCCAGTTAATATTTTGGAAGTTGAAATCCCCTATGATCATTATCCTATTAGTTTTACCTATCCTTTGATTTCTCCCTGACTGTGTTACGGTCTATAGTACAACTCAGTCCATGAGATTACCCCTTTTTTTGTTTTTTTTATTTCTCCCCATATAGCCTCATTTAGGAACTACATAGGATATCATCCCTTCTTATTGCAGTAAGTACCTCCTTGATCAATATTGCAACATCACACCTTCTATTTCATGTCCCCATACCCTTGTTGAATTGATTGATTAGTTTTTGAAGAAGTGACCAGCAGCGTGGTAGCCTGTGGCTGTGGTCTACTTGAAATTCCAAAAGGCATTTGGTAAGGTTCCATATCAATGCTTATTACTCAAAGTAAGAACACGCAAGTAACATATTAACATTGATAAATAATTAGTTAGTGAACAGGAACCAGAGTATGGGGATGAATCAGTCTTTTTGATAATAAATCAATCAATCAATTTTTCAAGTTGGGAAACTATAACAAATACCAAAGCAATCATTGCAGGGGATTCAACTATTTACAATCTGTATCAATGACTTGGGTGAATGGACCAAACTTATGACAGCTAAAAGTGTTGATGATACCAAGATAGATCGGGAAGTAAGTTGTCAAGGTGAGGTAAAGAGTCTATAAAGTCTACAGGTTAACTCAGTTGCAAGAATTTCATGTTTGAAGTGTAATGTAGGAAAATGTGAACTTGTCAACTTTGGTAGGAATATTAGAAAAGCAGTATATTATGTAACAAGGAAAGATATTGCCTAACTTAGTGGTACAGCAGGATTTGGGTCTCCTGGTATTTAATTCAGTTAATATGCAGTTAACAAAAACAGTTAATACGCAGGTACAGCAAGTGGATCAAAAGACAAATGGATGATTGGCATCTACTACAAGGGTATTGGAATACAAAAGTTAGGAAGGCTTATTGCAACTGCTCAGGCCTTGGTGAGAGCAACTCAAATAAGGTCCTGCAGAGTGAATATAGGGAGTTAGGCTGGAGGTTAAAAAGTAGGACCTCAATGGTAGTAATCTCTGGTTTAATCCTAGTGCTAGTGAGAATAGGAATAGGAGCTGGTGCAGAGGGCAGGTATTCAGATTTTTGGATCATTGGGATCTCTTCTGGGGCAGAAGTGATCTGTACAAGAGGAACAGGTTGCACCTGAAACAAC